TTTATAAACGAATCCAATTATGTAAAACATAACTTTTTTGCACCACTCATATCGAAAACCAGCTCTACTACAAGAAACAAATTTTTTTCAAATCTACTTTTTGTTGAATATCTACAAAATAAACAAGTTTAATTAATTAACTCTAGCAATTCCTTTTATATTACCAACATAATTGTATAGTTATGCGTGATTTATTGTTAAAATTGGTCTTTACAAGAAACATAAATTCAATGGTTTTGAGAATATTCTACAACACAATAAACTCAAAACTGTATTTCAAGCAGAAAATTTCTATTCAAAGCCTGGGCATACAGTAAAAAATATTTTAATTCGACTCTGAAAGCCCTATAAAATTATTATACAGTTTGTATGGTAGCTATATGCTATAGTGGTCCGATATCGGCGGTTCCGACAAATGAACAGCTTGGGGAGAAAAGAACGTATGCAACATTTCAGATCGAGATGAACAGACGGACTTGGCTAAATCAACTAAGCTCATGATCATTCATATATATTTTTTATAGGGTCTCCAATGTTCTTTTCTGGGTGTTACAAACTTCGTGTTAAACTTAATAGGGTATATTCCGGTTATAAATATTTGAAAATGTTACGAAATAATTGTAATTTTCTGAGTTGTGTTAAAGACAGTTGATATGTAATTGTAACAAAAATACACATTTATTTAAATACCTAAATGGAAACATGTTCATGCTGACACCTGTCAGCAGTCAAAAATTAAAATATTAGGTAAAATTTCACCACCTCCGAATCACTTGAAAAACGAAGGCGAAGGTTAGTTAATTAGCTAAGGGATATTTATGCTTTTCATTAAAAATTCATTTCCTGTAGGGCACTTCTATATGTGAATACATCAAGCACATTATGCATAGTCAAACAAACTAGCGCTTGTGGCAAAGCAGCGAGCACATTAAAAATTTTTCCACTAGCCACCTGCATTTCCGCTCCGCAAACGAGTGCTCGCAGTTAATTTATGCCGATTGCAACAATTAATAGCACGCAAGTGGAAAGCTTGCGCCTGCAGACATACACATGCACATAACGCATGTGTTTACACGTGGGTGTTTGAGTTGTAAATTTTGATGCTTAAGCAGAAAACTTCCATTAATTCGACAATGTATGAATTGCGCTGCTAATGAGTTGGAAAGGGAAATTGAGTGCGTGTTGAAAGGGCACCTAATTGCCTTCGCCAAAATTATGCAATGTCAGCTGGTTTTTGACTTTCAACATCAGCTAAATTACTCTATTAGAATTTAAACGGCTTTATTCGAAGTCAAATTTTAGTTAAACATAATGTTCTTACATATTATGTGAACAAATTAAGAGCTAAAAAAATCACTAACATTCATTCTTCTATCAAAGGTTTCATCAAGCTTCTTTATAACTTTTTCTAAAAAACATAATATTATATAACCTTGTTTTCAAGAAATAAGAATGGTTGATTGAACTGTAGAAATCATAAAGTTGACTGAAAGTGAAAAAATCTTAGTTTGGATTGTATGTAGGGCTTGAATTTGATAATCTTTAACTTTAATATATATATTTTTTTTGCTCACATTACTCATATTACTGGTGAACATACAATATATGTTCAATTCTGCTAAAAGTTCAACAAAAATAACTCATGCCTTGTTTGTTTATCACAAATGTTTATGAGTGAGGTTTTGCAAGTGAAAACGTTTAAGTCGTAATTAATGAGTCAATTAAAATATTATTAGAATAACTGTAGAATTATATGCAATTACATTCGTAGCATAGAATTTACTACAACCTCGCACAGTACAATGCATTAACTAAAATTATTTTTACTCATTCGCTAAGTTGACCACATAACACTCGTAAACATTTTATTTCTACTGTTTCGTCTTTTGAACGTTATGTTTGGTTACACCGTATCTATAATACCCTTCACAAATACAAAATATTCCTTACAAGAACCTGATAGTAACTTGATCTGAACAAATTCTTCGGAGATTGCATCATTGCCTGAGACAATAATCCGTACCAAATTTTTTGAAGATATCTCGTCAAATGAAAAAGTTTTCCATGCAAGTACTTCATTTAGATCGTTTAGTTTGTACGGCAGCTATATGCTATAATCATCCGATCAAAACAATTTCTTCGGGAATTACATTGTTACCTTAGAAAATAGCTCATGCCAATTTCGTCAAATAAAAAAGTTTCACATACAAGGACTTGCTTCCGATCGTTTAGTTTGTATGTAGCTATATGTTACAGTGTTCCAATGGTGGCAATTCCGAGCAGCTTCTTGGAAAGAAAATGACTAGTGCAAAATTTCATATCGATATCTCAAAAACTGAGGGACTAGTTTGCATATATACACATGGGCAGACATACGAACATGGTTAAATCGACTCCCCTCGTCGATGCAGATCATTAAAGGCAATATATATTTTATAGAGTCTCGAAATTTCCTTTAGGGTGTTACAAATTCAATATATCCTATTCAGGGTATAAAGATTAATATAAATTACAAACGAAACATTTGAAAATATCGTGAATGTTTTTATGATTTTGTAATTTTTGGGCTTTTATTTGAATGTTAAATTTAATAAAAGTGCGAATTTCAAAAAATCAGAATTGCGAAAAATGTCATTTTTGAAAATATCGCGAATGTTTTTATGATTTTGCAATTTTTGGGCTTTTATTTGAAAGTTAAATTTAATAAAAGTGCGAATTTCAAGAAATCAGAAAGGCGAAAAATGTCTGAGAAGTCAAAATTGAATAAATGGAAACGCAGCATTCTAAAAACTACTTCAATAAATTCAAAATATTATAATATAATGTTTAAAGAAAGTCATTAGTGAATGCTTTCACTTTATTCTAAAAACTTTAAAGTTTGTAAATATTACTCATACGCCATGCAGACTCCATAAGGATTTATACTTGAGTCAATACGAATGAAAAAATTATGTATATTTAAACGAAGATATTATTAAAAGAAATAAATAGCACTTAGAGCATATTTCTGCATTATTTACGACTTTTGAGTGGAGAAGATCTAACAATTTAATAACATTGCTCATACGCCACGGTGATTCAGTTATATTACATACTTGTATATGCCTCAACTACATTGAAGTTTGAATGAAATTCTTCTAATAATAAATAAGTAACATTTCGAGCATATTTCAGCATTATTAACGACTTTGGATTATAGAATTAAAACTATATTTAAAAATTACTCATACGCCATGGTGGTGCAACAGTTCTGCTTTTATTATATAAATTAAATAGTAGAATGGTTGAAACAGTTATGAAAGCACTACAAGAATCAATAAAAAATATTTCAGACGACTTTGTGGTAGAAAATACCCAACAAATTAGTAATATTACTCAGACGACCTGTTGAACAGTGTAAGTACAAATTACTCGCCAACTTTAATTTATGACTTATGTGTTTGTAATATTAACACTAGAACTACGAACCGATCAAAATGACCGGTTGCATCATTTACTTATAGCATTTCCTCTTTATTCCTATTTAATATTTTACGATCATGATTTTATTAAATTTGTGTATAGAATATTATTATAGATTATTTTGTTCTTACGCTTCTAATTTTCAGAGAGAGAGAGAGAGACCTATTTGAAATATGTATATGGTAAGTCTTCGTAGTTCTAGTGCTAATTACAGGAATAAGTGTTAATAGAAACAAATTATGGCAATACTGAGATATAGTGTATACAGTAAGGCCTAATTAATGTTGACAACTTGTATTAATTAATAGACATTATTATACAAAACTCAGTTTTGCGATGAGATTAGCAAAAATTTCAATATTTTGCTCGCAAATCAAATTTCCTACTTCAAACAATTATACATATTACAAATTTATGATTATTATTTTTTTTTTGTAATTTGGTATAAAATTAATATGATTTGAAAGTGTTGGGTGAGTAGAGCAGTAGCTCAAAGAATATTAGATAACCACGTCCCTTCTGCAAAGGATTATTATCCACAGACCACCTAATCCACGACTTCAAAAAACTAAAATCCATTCGAGAAAGAGTCTTCGGGCAAGTTGCTCTAAGAGATTTACTTACAAAAACAAACATCGAATTAATAAACCAATTATTCAAGGAACTATACTTAAGCACAAAAATCTAATACAAAAATATACATAAATCAAAATAAATAAATTATGCACGTGACAAACACCATAATATAACATAATAATAATAACAATACCATTTCGCAAAACTGAGCCATAGGCCCTGGCAGCCAATGTTCTCTTTTTTTAGATATTATATTTGTATGCTATATCTAAATTAAATAAATAAATAAAATATTAGATAAGAATTCTACAATCGAATCCGATGGGACTGAATATGAAAACCTCTTCAGTACTCTGCTCTCTTCCCACTCTCCGTTTCTTCACAACACAACTTTTAAGATATAAATTTCTTTAGTAGTTTCTAAATAATATTTATCAATACTTTTTAGTAGCTTAATATTATTATTATTTTTTTGAATCTAAAATGCTTGAATTTCAAAATTACTCATTTGTACAAAAAAAAAGTAAAATGAGAACATTAATAATTTTTACTAAATTTATGGTAAATTTTTAATATAAAAATTATAAAAATAAATCTTATTTGTGTTTGTAATATTCCAAATTAGAATACATTTAATTAAAGTTCTATAATTAAATCATTATAATAATTTTTCAGTCAATCGCATAATTTTAAATTATTTTGTATTTAATTTTTACACAAAATTTTAGCAAATACTTTTAATATTTCAAATCATTTTATATTCTTTAGTTTAGCGTACCAACTTTTATCTTCACAATAAACACTTAATCATTTCACTGACACCATACACGATAAGCACAATTCTTCGATTTGTTATTGAGTAACATCCAAAAATATTAACAACTTCCTTCAACTTATTTGTTCATTATTAATAATTGCTTTTGTATTTTTATTTTCCCACAATTTTATTGAATTGCACCAACCCTTTCAAATTATTGACCGTTAAAACTGTATCAATCTAACACACGTTGTGCGAACAAGATAATTCCACAAAAGCATAGAGGTAACAATAACACATAAGCTTTTCAGTTGTTGTTGTTGTGGCACACTATCTCCAAAACAAATCTCTGTAATTGAAATGAAAACTGATAATACTGAAATATTCGTAACCTTACAACTTGCTTAACCGACCGTATTCAATGACGATAACGCTTGACGTCGTGAACGCGAATGAATTCGAATTGAGAATTGCTTCGACTGTCAGCAGAACTGCATTTTAACAGCATGTACAATGTATGTGATAACATTAGCGCCAACAATGCCAATAACAAATGTCTTATCTATGTACATTCTCTGGCCCAGCGCGTGATAACAATGCCAGCCTAACAGAATTACGAATTGGTGACAATGTCGCTAATAGCGCCGAATAAAGCGCTGAGCGCCAAAGCCGCAGTAATTTTAACGAAAGAGTGCACCTGTTATCGCACTGTTATGTAAATGTACATAGCAGAAGCCAAACTGTTGCTTTAAACTCAATGTAGTGGCAAGTAGCTGTGCAAATCCTGTGAGATAATTATGTTCTCCTACCACCGACGCAGTTCAAGTGACTTTTGTCAGCTAACATTTGCGTTGAACAGAGTAGGAGAATAAAATATAAAAATAAAGAAGAAATAGGGGTTAATTTGGACTTTAAAGGGAATAAAAATAAAATTTGTATGACAGGATTTTTTGTGGCGTTAAAATTATTATTTATTTAGTGTTTAAATTTGTAGAGTATAGTTGAATATTTAAAAAAAAATGGATCTTAAAAAAAAAAAATTACCACCTGTTGCAAAATATTTTATCAAAACATTTTTAAGACAATACGCCCACTACAATGCGGGTATTAAATGTTAAAGAGATTTAATAAAGCTTACACCGGAAAAAAATTTTTAGAAGAGAGTTGTCAACGGTTCAAAAAAATTTAATTAAGTAAAATTGACCAGCGAATTATTACAATATTAAATCTGAAAATATTTTAAAACAAAGTAGCCAACTGTTCTATAATTTCAGTTTAATAAAATTGATAAGATCAACGAATTTAAATAATTTAATAACCATCGTTAATATAAACAAATTATTATAATATGATTATCCAACTAAAGAAGGAGTTGCCACCTATTTTAAAAATTTTATTTGAAAAAAATATTTAGATAAACGAATAATTACAATTAATTTTTTTTAACGTATTTGGAAGTAGTCAAAATAGTTGAAAATGTTTACTTATTTAGGAAGATACATACATATGTTGAAAAGGATTGCCACCTATTTAGAAATTTTTTAAATAAATACAGTATTACAACATAAAAATCAAATAAAAAGTATTTAAAACAGTTCTGATTACAAAAGAATATTAGTATATCTACTAGCAGTTAACACAAACCATATCAGCGAAATAATGAAACAATTTAATTGAGAATAGTTCTTAATACTTATTCCTCATTGAATTTAATATTTTCAAGGCACACAGAGAAACTTGCACTCCTTTCAAATTCAGCAACTTAAGGTTACCCTAGTAATGTTTAAATAGCCGTCCCTTCACATATCCACATTCATATAAAAGTAATACATACAATAGCATTGAGTGCAAATAGCAGCACTTTTATCAACAGGCGTTCGCGCACACTCATACAATCACACAGAATGAAAATGATGACAATGCCAACAGCTGTCATTGACGACATTGTGTATTCCCATTGTTAGGTAGCACTATTCAAAGTCCTTGATAATAACATAAGCTTCGATATGTATGATATTCACAGACCTTCAGGTGTACAGAGGCACATCCGTCGGTCAGTAAGGTTGGTTTCTGCTCTCAAATGAGAGCGCTGTTAAAACCGGTTGCTTTAAAAGCTTTCTTAGGCTTCTGTCAACAGGATACTCCTTCTGGTTTAAATTACAGCGCGACAGAAATACACTTTCCCCAGTCTATGTGGTTAACAGAAATATATTAACAGCCATTTACTTTAACAGTTAATGCGAAATTTGTTAACAAACTTTTCAAATGATGGCGCCGTCCTCATTTAAAATCTTTTAAATAATATTAAAAATAAAATTTGCAGTGTATTTCCTGGAAATTTTGGAAGAATATAAAAAATTTGCCTGTAAAATTAAATTACATAATTATTAGTTATAATGCTCGTTAAAATATAGAATTATGTATATTCGGTTTATTCTTTTCCCTTCAATAATTTTAGTGTTTCATCAATCGTGAAGTTCCTGTAAGTCATCCACTGTTAGTAAGACCATCTACCCCTTCAGCATAAACATAAAATCTACAGAATAATTGTCTCAACAGCTCGCAGCTTCTCTTTCCTTTCCTGATGTTGTTTGCTTTCTTTTTTTTATTATTTTCAATACCGTTTCAAAGCATATTTGCTATTTCACTCGCTCAGTAGCAACTCTGTGTACGCCGTTTCTAAAGTTTTTGTCGCTCAATTTCTTTTAAAATATATACTATAAAAATTACATATGTATATGTATGTGTCAGCATATATAAATCTGTATGTATTCACATAAATACATATATGTATATCAACTTTATTTATTTACATTTGGTGAGCGTTCTTCAATGTCGCAATCCAACCACTCCCTGCCACCGCCGCAATTTCACCCGCCATAATCCTTCATAAACGCATTTTTGTTTGACATAAATTTGCGCACAAGTGTGTTTGTTTGGAAATTTTCCACTTTTATTTTTCACTTTCGCCAAGCGATAAACATTCGATCAGTCAGTGCTGCGCTGCAGCATAAGTGATTTTTCGTTTGAAATTCATTTTTATTTCATTTTCATTTTGAGTTCGCCGATAAACGTATTAATACATTTAATAACTGAGCAAATCAAATAACCACTCTAAAGCGATTTACTTTAATTGGCATGGCTTGGGGTAGCATTTAATATACATACGCACAAATGTGTTCTTGCACAGGTGTGCAAATTATAATGGTGGAGTACTAACATGCTCACAACGCAGTTGCTGGAAGTCCTTGAAATATATTTCCACTGAAAACTTAGCTGATTGTATGAGCTTAATTAAGTTCAATTATCAAAAATATATAAGAGTGTATAGGAAATTTATAATACCCTAACCCTAATAATAATATTACTCATAAGTCGTATGCTTAGCTTTAAGCCTTTTGATACGGGAGTCATTCTATTGCGCCCAATATTTCAATTTAAAAGATAATAGACAAAAGGAAAGGAAGGTAAGTAAATAGAGTGGTCATTTGACGATGTACCTAGTCATTTAGGAAGCCCATTGTAAAACCACCGCGAATAAAATCCCCTCATCCTATTATGTTCTTAATGAAGTTCATCAATATTTCTTTATGCTACCTACGAAGCATCGTCAAAAAACCCTCGTCCGATAGTTACGATTCTTTTCTTATACCAAGCTCTGCAATCGCATAGTAGATGTGCTATAATTTTCTCTTCTTCTACCACTTGACAGCTTCTACAATGTTTTGTGTTCCCAGTCTGCTGGCATGTTTTCCAATTAGACAGTAGCCTGTTAGTATTCCTACTAGAGTTCTTATGTTATTAATGCTATTTTTGCCTGTTTGTAGGTTCACATATATTTATAGCATAATTGTCGATTAAATATCTGCAACTAGATTAGTGTAATTGTAGTGTGGTGTCTACTTTGGCTAGTTCATCTGCTTCACAGTTACAAGAAATATCACTATGTCCTGGAACCCATTGGTTTATTTTGAAATAGGATGTTACATCCACTAAGAGATCAAGGCATTCTTTCAGTATTTTCGATGAAACCCCAAGAGACTTTAGCGTTTTCAAAGCCGCTTGGCTATCTGTATATATAAATATATTTCTTATAGTGAGCACATTGTCAGAACAGTACGGATTTCTTTAATTACTGTGATCTCCACTTGGAAAACACTGTAAATAGTGGTCTGGTAGTCGAAAGGTGATTCTTGCATCTAATTTAGCTGAAAAGACACCACCTCGCCTCGATTATCTAGTTGGGACCCATCTGTATAGATGTTTATTCCTGTGTCCCTGTCCACCTCAGCCTTCTCTTAAAGGGAGGCAATATTGGGCCCGAATTTTAGTTCAATTCTATAGAATTTCGAAAAGCCGTGGTACTAGGTTGAAACGGGAGTACGTATCTTAGAATGCTTCTTACTACAGACGACTGATGGAGAGGATTCCCTCTGTCAAAGAGCTGACTTCGCTACCAGTTTTGTACAAAACAAGTCAGTGGGCAGTAAACATTTTAGTGAAGTAAATGGAGTAGGAAGAACTCCATAATAGTTTTTTAGGGCTTTATAGGCCTTTAGCACCTAAGTGAAATGGTCACGCACCTTAAATTGAAAATTTTAAATATCATTTGACAAGAATTATTGTACGCCTACTATATCTGAGATTCCTAAATATTCGATAAATGGTTCCAAATAATGTCATATGTATAAGACGGCTGCCCTTGACTAATTGAGTTATTGCAATATGTAATTGCAGCATTTGAATCTGTCATAAACTAGGTGACAGGCCCGAAGCTCGAAAGACTATTGGAGCTTATTCTATTAAGTATTTAGATGAATATGGCCTTAATTTCTGCGTTTTTGTAATTACTTTGTTCAAGACTAAGGAAAAAGTAAGCCACAATCGCTTAAGCTGCTAAGAACAGAAGTCAGAAACAGTTATTGCTTCCGAAAGCAAGCCAGTATGTACCGACACTCATACATATTTAACAGCATATCCTTAATATATTTGAAAAATATTTTATGCTGTTCAACGACATCAATTATAATGATTACTTAATGAATGAACTATAAATAGATAAAGGTAAATCTCAACTATTAATTATATTATAATATATATTTTTTTTAAGTTCAAGAACAAATTCGATTTCTTAAGATTTTCTGAGTTCCTCAACTCATGCAAAAATATTTAAAAACTCAATCCATTTTAAATTGTATGTTTTTTGGCCTTCTGGCATATGTGGAACCAACAAGTTGTTGTAGATTCTACTCTTATTTACGTATACAGAAAATACAAGCAAATCCGAATTATTTTCCATATACATAACACATTTCTATATAAATGTGTATGGTCAAGCTTTTAGAAATAAGTCTTTATAGATAAAGTGTACGTACCTTTCATACAAGTATATGGTACATACTAGAATCTATATAGTGCATGAGTGAGTGGTTCTCGCACAAATCACTCAATCCAAGA